AATTTGTGTGCAGAAGAAACCTCACTCTGTTGCTTAGGGAATCTGCCCTGTGTGCTGGTTGCTACAAGATATAATGTTACAATGCTTACTGTCTCTGCCCTTGGTCCAAGAATAGCACAATATTACAGACCTCCTTATGACTCCCCTTTCTGTATCCATCTCCTAAGTCAAAAGACTGAACACGAGGAAGGCCAACTCATTGTCAGGCTATATCCATAAAGCTGATGTGATAATTGTATAGCATTTATTATTAGTGGTAAAATACTATTGTTGCTAGTTCTGTTGTGGCCTTGCTTCCCCTGTTAAAATGTAAAGGAATGTAAAGGCTACCGTATTAGCTTAGAAATACGTATATACTGTAGATTTGAGCATTGCAACATGTAGTCTCTACAGCCGGCCATATAAATTTGAAAAATAAATAAATAAAAATAAAAAATTACTGTTGCTGTCTACTTTGCTATTATGATGAGAAAACATGGGAGAAATGCTCTGATCATCAGCACATATATGTTAGGATACTCATTTTGTTTTACATCAGTTTGGGCTTTTCAATTTTGAATTTCATCTACTTTTCTATCTAGTTTGAAGGTGCCATTCTGGAATCTTGCGGAATTATTTTGAATCACAGTAAATAATTTGTGGTTTGTTTATTCATTCAATTTACCGTATTTTCGGAGTATAAGATACACTGGGGTATAAGACGCACCAAGATTTTGAAGAGGCATATTTTTTTAAAAAAAAAAGTTTTTGCACTCTGCAAACCTCCCAAAAACGGTCCATTTTTTGCAAAAATGGGCCCATTTCCTCCCCCAAAAGGGCACAAATAGCCCTTAGGAGGCTTGTAGAGTGTTCCTGGGGGAGTGGGGGGAGGCAAAAATGAGCAAAAAACAGCCAATTTTTTGCAAAAACGGGCCCTTTTTTGTAAAACAAAGGGCATTAGGAAGCTTATAGAGTGCTCCTGAGGGCTGGGGGGGAGCAAAATTGAGCAAAAAACAGTCCATGTTTTACTCATTTCTGCCTTTCTCAGCTCCCAGGAGCTCTCTGAAAGCCTCCTACAAGCTGTGCACAGTCATTTTGGGGTTTCAGGAGGCAGAAAAATGCTGTATAAGACACACCCAGATTTTCAGCTTCTTTTTTGAGGGAAAAAGGTGTGTCTTATACTCCAAAAAATACAGTGTGTGTGTGTGTGTGTGTGTATGTGTGTGTATGTGTGTGTATGTATGTATGTATGTATGTATGTATGTATGTATGTATGTA